TCCTGGCGTTGATTTTTTCGAGGTCAGCGCCAACAGCGCGTCGTTGTACAGAAGGACATCAGCCACCGTCACAGGGCTGCTCCCTTCATCTTTCTTATTGCCCGCACCAAAGAAGAAGTGTGAGATCCTGTGTGGACCAAACTGATCAGCGTTACGGTCCTGAGCCATTTCTTTTTCATCCGTCTCGTATATTCTTCTCCCATTAGCGTACACGAACCATTCATCATTGTTATCCTTTTGCACCGTCACTTGAATTGCCGTGTTTGTTTCCCAATTGCCAACATCACCGGACGGCTTCACCAAAAACTCCTTCTTGTGAAGTGTGAATTTCCAATTTCTTTCACTCGTGTACGACAGCTGAAAGAGCACCGTGCTGTCCGTGTCGTTCAGCCTCGCACCAATCAAAGGAACGGGGATGCTGCCTGCCTTCGGCACCTCGTGGATGAACACCGTCGCCGAAAGAGTGAACTTGTTGTTTGTAAAGTAGTACGGCACAGTCTGCCCCATGTCGCCAACAGGCCACTCCGCCCCTGCTCCCTTGAGAGCCACACCGCTCTCCGTGCTGGTCACTCCGCTCCCCACTGTGGCATTCACGCCGAGGTACTCGTCCTTCCATGCAGTCCCGTTCAACGTCCTGGACAAAAAACCAACCAGCCCTTCAGTGGGAACTCTCAAGGCGCTGTCCAAATCCTTCCATGTCTTCACCACAGACTTTACCCGCTCCAGCTGCTCCGTCAGGCGCATGGCGACAAGACTGTATGGCTTGTCACCATTCCTCTTCTCGTACAGTAAAATCAGCTCATCCTCACTTTTCACTAAAAGAGAACTGGCGGCAGCGTCATCACCCTCACGAGATACCGGCCCAACATCATGCACGCGTGCATTGTCCGTCGCCCAAAGATGGAGCCGACCCTCTCCACTTCCATTTTCCTTTGCGGCATACATCGGCGCGGTGATGAGCATCACCTCCTTTTCCCCAATGGTTGCGGTGGTAAATCCGCTCTTAACGCCGTCCCCTGTTCGACCATGTGAGTTGCCCCACACGCGGGTAATTGGCTCACCATCTGGATTCCAATTGTACCCATCCTCAGTGGACCTGTAAACGTCATAGTAGCCTCCAGCACAATGAGCCATCATGAAGAGCCTTTCGCCGTATTGGTCTTCTTTCCACTTCACCAGGGTTGGATCCCTGCAGCCGTTACCAGGCGTTATTTGCGGAAGCTCCCATTTGTTCTTTGACGGGGTAAAACGCATAGAAAGTAAAACGCGCCCTTCATCCTTGTTTTTGGCCTGCATGGGAAACACAAGCGCGCCATCACCCATCACAGCGCCCGATCCTCCACCGCCAATTAACTCGGTCAAGGAAAGAGAATCTCCTCTGGGTTCAGGCTTCACCACATGAGCCTCATTCCACAAAAGTTTCTTTTTGTTTCCACCCTCGTCAGAGACAGTTCCCTTCACGAGTAAAAGGCCCCGCTCATTCGTGCCTTGAAACTGCGGCTTTGTACGGCTTTGGTTTCCCAGGAGCATGTAAACACTGTTCCCAAGCACAAGCGTCGTTGGTCGCAACAATTCCGTTGTCCCAAAATTATTCGCGGCGGCGTCCACAAGTTGCATGCAAAACAAGCTTGTATCCGACGTAGAAATATCCAATGCGCTGCCACTTATATTCAGGTGCTTTGACACAATCCCAGCACGGCGGCCGGCTCCCTTCTCCTCCCCGCACTGCGCTTCAGCAACGGCAAATACATCTTCACCCACTTTAACGAGGCCAGGAACACGGAGCGAGGTGATTTTCCTTCCGTCCCCGTTAAACTCCTTCCAATTAGTAAGCGGTATCGACGTCTTCCCCTTAAACGGATCAACAGTGGCCCCTGCCTGCTCAGCGTGCGCAGCTCCACTGCCGCAGCACATCATCACGACGAGGAGAAGCAGCACAGAGTAGAAGTGATGCCGGGACATGTTGGGCCTCTGCCGCTCACTCTCTCCTCCTTCCCTCCTCCTTCCGCTGGATCCGGTCACGCGGCGACGGTTGTGTGTGCGGGGTGCCTTCACTGCAGCAACACGTGAGAGCATATAAATATGTGTGTGTGGGCGGTGTGTGTGCTGTTGTTGGTCCTTTCAGTGCCTTACAATTTCACAGTAGCAATTCGCGTTTGATTGCTTTCTTTCCTAGCGTGTGTCTGTGTGTTCAAAAAGTGGAGAGTACAGCAGCAACAGCGGCAGCACATCAGACATGTCAGCGGGGTTAGAGCAGAGCACATCACTCACGCAAGGTGCGGACAAAACAGAATCTGTAATGGACATCACGGAAAAACATCGCACACACAAAAAAAAAACAAAAAAAACACGGCAAGTCACACAGGAAGCCAACACACACACACACAAATGGACGCGGGCTTTCATCATTCGGCGGCGTCATTCAAAGTCCTGCCAAAACAGTCTGCAAGTGATACAGTGATCGGTCACACGCTCCCGGTGTACCGCCGCGGCAAGGACGCGGACACAAACGGAATTATCTGCACAAACGTGGGCAGCATCAATTCACAGCACAGTCACACGACACACGCTCTCTCGGTCCATCCCACGCCCCGCTTCAAAAGGCCGCGGCAAGCACCAATCAACAAAATAATGAGGCGGCGGAAACAAATTCCCTGCAGGCCATTCAGGGCTCCACAGCAACGCCACCAACAGGAGCGTGCATCCCTCTGCTTGCAGCAGTGCACGCCTCTTTGCTCCGGGCCTCTCGGGGCGTTGAGCACCTCCCCGACCATCTCGCGCTCACAAAACAAGCCGCACGCAGATGCCATTCATTTTCTCCGCAAATGGTGTTGCCGCGCTGAATCATGTGCAAATAATCCACAACTCATCACCCAAAGCTTCTTTCCATCGTCAGATAAGAAAAAGACAAAAATGCTTTGAAAACTCAACACAAATACCACTCCGCCCTACTCACTGCGCATTGCCCCGCACACGATCGTTGTTACTCGCCCTCTGCTCTTCGCCCATCCCATTCCTGCCTGCCAGGACGTACATCACAGTCGCAATCCCTCCCAAGAAATACTTTACCACGTGCTGGCACGGGCCACATTTTTCCCTTGCATCCCGGTCTCCCGCCCACAGGAGGGCAAACAGGGGGATTACGTGCATGTGCGTGTGGATGGCAATGTGCAAAACTCATGGAAATTCAAAGAAATACGGAACACAGAGTGACCCCGCCCACGGATTGTAGAGTCCACTCGTGAACCGCAGCAGGAAGAGCAAACGTCCTCTTTTTACCCTTCTGAGAGGCCGGTTCATTATCATCTCGCCGCCTCAACAGCGTGTACCGGCGAGCGGAGGAGATGACTGCTCAATCGCCCCTCGTGTCAGAGGCGCTCACAACGTCTCCCTGCGGCCACGTGCCCTCAGCAACAAGCCGCGTGGCAGAACGCAACACAATTCACCCACTCGCCAATAAAATAAATAAACATGCATCTCGCCGCCACAAAACGGCCATCAACATCTGTTTCACGGCAGACAACAAATGCCAAGGGGTTGAAAAAATATATATGTACGCGGATGGTCTCCCACAATACATTCCAGCAAAGGATATTCTCTCAACCCTGAAAATAAAAGAGCGTAAGGTCACAGAAGCCGCCTCATCGCGCCAAAAATCGTGTGTTGCCCCTTCTCGCAATTCTCTGCTGTCCGCAGACACCGCCCTCTGTGGTGTTCAAGCAAAAAATAAACATTCACAAAATAACAGCAAGAGAAGCCTCCACACGCAACGTGTGCACCACCGTGGCGCATCGCTTCTCTCCCCGCAAGTAAAACAGGCGCCGTCACACCATCCGCAAGGATCGCCACAAACACGCCAAATTGCGACGTGCGCAACACGCTCCGCCGTGACCATCGTTTTCCCGATAACGAAGCCCACTTCCGTTCACTGTGTCTGCCAAGCAGGACACACCAGGCCTGCCGCTGCAACGCAAAAAAGGATCAGAAATACGCAACGGATCCCGTCGCAACCGTTGGATCAGACGCCGTGTTGAGGTTTGGGATGGGCGGATGGAGGAATAAAAACAAAACGGCCAAATATCCCCGCGGACTCCCGCATTCCGCGCAGTCCCAATGGCCAGAGGGTCCTCTGGGGACGCCTGGGAGACGCATCCGCCACACTCACACGCACCATCCTTCACGGCTCCCCAATCAAGTCCAGCGGACCTCGTGAAGCACACGGCGCGCCTCAGTGGCGTGGCAAGCAGCCTTCTCGGAGAAAAGGACGCGTGGCGATGGTTCCCCTCCCCACTTCACTTTTCTTTTTTTTCTCCTCCTGTTTTTGGTGGCATCTCACAGAAGGGGAGCGCACTTCATGTCCCCGAGCCCTTCTCTCGGTGCACGCACAAAAACAGAGAGGGGAATAATAAACGAGTGGGTCAGGCGGCACGGAGAAATAAATGTGCGGGAGACAAACAAAACAACAAAAAAAGAGCCCGACAGATATGCACGCAGCATATCCAGCGGAAACGGGTGTCACCTTCAGTGGGTAAATCAGTAGCCAATGGCGGCGTCGATCGCCCACAACAAGAAACAGCGTTGTGCTCAGAATATTTTTGGCTTGTTTTCTGCTTCCCTCCCCTGTTATTTCTCCCTCATCCATCATCTTCATGTTTCCTGCTTGCTGCCGCCCTCTCCTACCCTCGGCAACACGGCCAAGTTTGGACGCTGCGCCCTCCCCTCCCCTGTCATGCCAAATATATGGTTGCGCTCTTTAAAACCCACGGCGTACTCGCTTAAATATCATTTGTGTAAATATAAAAAAAACTTTCAATATTTGAAGTGAAAAATAAAATAAAATAATAAAAACACAAAACTTGCGACTGGCGCCAGTTCGTCTTCCTTTCGTCGTGAAAGGGTACAAAAGTGTCCTGTCGTACTCAACCTTTGGGACCCCTTGCTCCTCATCATGCCCGTAGGCCCGAATGCGCTGTATGCGTGCCTCATCCTTCACCCAAACGTCTGCGGGGGACCATGCCGTTATATGGCCCCTTGCACCCGCCACTGCACGCCCGTGGACGGTTCCACTTCATCATGGCATATGGTTGGTTCGCACTCAAAGACCTGACGCGACGGTACCAGAGAGCGTCCGGTGGCTCCATTTCATTAGAGAAACGAATATTCGAGCTGCCGCGATGCAGAAGTTTGCCGCATAAGACATTCCGCTCCTGAAATCCAAGCAAACGGAGGCGCAAGCCGTAGTCGACATCCTCCACTCAATCTGGGTAGAAGTTCTCGTCAAAATATCCCACCGTACTGATCGCCAGGCGTGTCAACATAACAGACACAAAACAACTGCTTTTGTAATACGCGCAGAAGTGCCCGTAATGCTTCGAAAACGCCTTTTCACGCTCCTTCGCAGAGGCATAACGGATGCGGTCAGGCAGCAGCGCAGACGTCGACAATCGGCTATCGTTCACCGTGGAGCGCAGCACCCTCAAGCCCCGTCGCAAAACAGGACTGTACTCGCTCGGCTCATTCGCCACCTCCGCCGACAACTCATCCATGCGAGCGGCATCATGCCTCGTCATTTCATGCACATCGCGTAGAAGGTTGGGAAGAAGATCGGGTGAAAACACTACGTCGCTGTTTGTCACAAAAACAAGAGGCACTTCCTCGCGCGGCAGCGAGAGTGCAAGTCGTGACCCGATGTTCACCGCAGCGCTGTACCCGATGTTTTCCGGGTGACGACTCACAACCAGGCGTCCGGACCACCCATAGACCCTCTCGAGCTCCTGCAGGCACAACGACAGCATCGCCTCCCGCCCGTTCTGCACCAAAACCAACAGCCGGATGGGCGCACTGATGTTGCACATCATCCTCCGAAAGTCCATCAGATCGAGCATCAGCGGGACCACCATCAACGGGATAGCGACCGTCCCGTTATTATTTCCCCCAGCCGCCGTGTCGTTGGTTCCACCAGAAGCCTTTCCCCGACGCAGTGGATATAGTCCGCCCTGGTCGGATCAGCAACAAACCATACGTGGGATCGTCCCCAAGTAGGGGCTCCACTCCAAAAAAAAAAAAATATCAAAATGCACAACAAATTTAATGTGAGAAGAAAGATAAAGCACCCTTTCCAAAAAAGGCTCGTGGCCTCGGTTTTTTAAACGCGTGTAACTCCGCGCATATCCCGTTGGAGGCAAAGCCAAGGGAGCATCTCCTGAAAGAAAGCAAAAGAAGTAAAAAAGAAAAAGAAGGTGCGCAGGAATGGCTCCGTGTCAATGCGTAAAAAAAAAGATTCCTTCCAGCGCAATGGCCACGCATGGATAACGTCCTTGGCCTTCCGTCCGCACAAAAAGGCTCGAGCGCCCCAACAAAGCCCTCCATGCGGGAAGGCTATCGGAGACACCGCAAACCGCACCAGGTACAAAAAAAAAATCAAATAAATGAATCGATAGTGAAGCCCAGCGCCTCAGCGTGTCTTCTGCAACACCACTCGTCATCACAAAATGTTTAAAAAGCGACAATGTGGTAAAAGGGAGGGACCGAACGGAAGCACAGGCCCACCATCAAAGGTGATGGGTTTTCCAAAGCCGCGCCCCAACACAGCAAGAGTTCTTAAACTAAAAAAGGAAAAAGAACCTCATGGGTAAGAACGAGAGGAAAATCAGCCGACCGTCCACCCGGAGGAAAGGAGGGATTCCACCGCGGTGTCCTCCACGACGCAAACACTCAGCGTCCACTGCCCGGTGTCGTGTGCGGAGTCCGCGAGGAGGTTTTGGGCACGCCGCTGTGCCACACGGTGTGACTCCTCGGAACGCAACAGCGGACGTGTCCCCTCCGGTCGCACTCGTGACGGTGGTGGCATCCGCTGCCTCGCCGTGTGCTGGTGGCGTCGACTACGATGCTGCGGAGTGATAGAGGGTGCCCGACAGGGCGGTGCTGGGCTGGGCGGGCAGTGCGCTCTGCGGCAAGACGCCCAGCGCGACTCCTGACAGCGGCGCTCACGCAATTCCCTCCGCTCCTCTCCCTCCATCCGGCAATCGCACAGCCGCCGGCACATTGTCCCCGAAGCAACACACATGGGAAAGCGTCGCGGCATATCTCTCGAGAGAAGAGAGCGACAGCCACACGCTGCGGCCATCGTGCCGACAAGTCCGGCGTGGATGCACCCACACCCACAGCAGCAGACACAAAACAAAAAAGAAGTCTTCCGCTCCGTGTCATGTCCTCGTGCGTGTTGGTTCGGCGTTTAAAAGCAATGCCGCCACACGCAGCACAACCTTCCCACAGGGGATGAGAGCCGCGGCGCACTCCCACTGTCTCTTCCTTCTCTTCATGCCCACGGAATGATGAAGCAGCTGCCACACGCAATCGTCAGCACACGCTACAAAAGAAGCATCAAAATCCACTGCAATGTGCATTCTGTGCGTGCATGTGGTTGTGTGCCTGCAGAAACACGAGGCAAAGAAGTGAAAACAGGAGCAGAGCATGTGAGGGGACGCACAAAAAAAACTGTACAGCGGACGCCCATGGCAGAAATAACAGGACTGCTCAAACTCATGATACTGCACTGCGGACAAAGCAGCGGCAATTCATAAAAAATTATTAAAATTAAAAAAAAATTCATCTTCACCATTCCACACCTCACACTTTGAAAAGAAAAAAAGAAAAAATGAAAAACCACACAAAGAAAGCACCCAACCACCATGTTGCTCCAGAAACTGTCTGTATATATTTTGACCACAAAAAAATTTAAAATATATTTAAATGTCTTTCAACCGTCCGACCCTCTGTGTGTCCGCACATCGTTCATATTTCATGGGGTCATCCACGTGTTGCTGCTCCCCTCAGCCCTCCCATCGGCGCGTGAGTGCGGCCCGCAGAGCACAGTCACTCTTCTTGTGTGTGTGGACTGAGAGAAGCACGCAGACATGACGGGAGTCGCGTCACTCCATCGGGAGAGTGAGCGCAGCAAAAAAAAAGAAAAACACGGCGGCAGGGTGTGGCTGTGTGTGTGTGGCGCTGCGGGTGTCTGCCAGCCCTGGCCGCAAAGAAAACAAAACAAGAGGGAAGAAATGTGTGCTCCGCCCCACAGGCCCTCGCCGCACGCCCACACGTCACGGCTCCCTCAGCGCGCTGTTCGTCGCGGCCCCTCCTCATGCGTGCAGCAGGCGAGGCGCACAGGGCCGTCGTCATGAGCGTGTCGGTGGGTGTGCGAGTGGGGCAGTTGGGCGGAAACACACAGCACCCCTCGCAGGAAGAGTGCAGCAAAAAACAAAGAGAGAAGAGTAGAAAAGAAAAAACGTTCATAGTGATTGCCCCAAAAAGTAAAAAAAGGAGATGGGGGCGTAAAAAAAAAAAAAAATGAAAACATTTAAACACGAAAAAAAAGAAAAATTGATTCGGCAGGACTTTCATGTGCCATGCAGCACAAGAAGATCGGGGGCGTATGCATATTCCCTGCACAAACAAAAAAGAAAACAAAAAAAAGGAATTGTACTCTCCCACCAGCCCACACAACATCCCTTATATTCCATGCGGCATCCGGCCTGCTCCCCCACTCCTCGTTTTGTGCAGTCCGCCGGAAGCGCAGCAGTGACGCCGGCACCGCGAGTGGGCAACAAAAGGGAAACAAAAGTCGGAAACACGTCGCTCACAACGGATTGTAGCAAACGACCATAAGAAAAAAAAAAAAAAAGAAACTGAGTATTCGAAAAAACACCAAAAACAACTGAAAAAGTGGAAAAATATTTTTAAAAAAGAAAAAAAAAAGCATTAAATAAAAACATCAAAAACCGCAAGAAAAGCGGCACGTATTCTCCGTCGGGAGTCGCAATGCCACACTCGTTGCCTCACAATACTGCCACAGCTCCACACAGTCCCAGAAGAAGAAGCATCGAAACCCGCGACACGCACACACGCGCAGTACTGTCGACATTCCAATCACGCAGTATCAGTTTCGCGTCGTTGAGCAGGGCGAGGCGGTCCTCTTGGGTCGCGCCGCTCCCGGATTCGGAGTGGTTATTTTCTGGAACAGGGGCCTCGCTTTGTTTGGGCAGCAATCCCTCACTTCCAGCCAGAGGCGCCATGCTTTCTTGTACTGGCTGCGCATCACCATCTTCAGTGGTCTCCCTTGACTGCAGGGTTGTTGGGTTTGCTCCCTCCTCCGGCGCGGATTGTTCTTCCCCCCCCATCGGGCTTTCCACTTCCGTAGTGAAGAAATCCTCGCTGTGCGTTGTCTCAAAATCACCCCTGCTCCCTGCAACA